CAACGTTTCCGCAGATAAATTTACATAAGACTTTAGGAAGGTTTGGTGAAATCTTCTCCAAGAAAACGCAAGAGGAAACAAGTAAACTTCATCCTCTCTGCAGTTTGGGTTTTCGTTCAAACGATTGAATCTCGAATTCCCCTGAATCGCTTTCCGGCCTCCTAGTTCAGCACGCAAGCATCCGGGCTTATGTCTTCGTGAACGGAGCTATGCCAGCGCATGGAATCGAGTCGTGTCGAAGAACACATCTCAACGGATGATTGCTTGGTGCGCCCGAGGCGAGAAGAAAATGCGCGCGTGCGTGCGATCCAAGGTAGACTTTTTTGAGTCGCAACTTGGGAACGAGGCGGCTGCCTCTCGGAAAGTCTGAGTCTGAGTCTGAGTGCACCCCCTAGGATACTGTCTGCGTCGGGAACGTGCGGATGGCATAACGAGTTATGCGCTGGGGGGCCCTCGCGGAAGAAATGTTTCGCCCAAGGAAATGAAAAAATACGTGCGTTTCTCGCTATGGAAGTTGGGATAGTAGAGAGAGCTGCAGCCCCGGTCCACTTGTTCTAGCAACATCTCCAAACAACTCTGTCAGCCAGAGTATCATGTGTTGGACGTTATAGGTTGTTGTTAAAAAAATAACCGAACTCCAATGGAAAGACAAGACGTCAGATAAAATTTTTAATTCAACTGTATTCGATCGTCGTTCCTAGGTCTTATTATAGTTTGGTTATTTAATTGCGTAATTGAGGATCTATATTATGAGAATAGTGATCGGACAAGGGGAATTCTTAATTGTTTAAATGTTTTGGGGAAATTCATAAAACAGCTGAGTAAGCTGAGACCAAGCAAAATGGCATTTCGAAGGGATGACACGATCGGGTGTGCAGTTTTTTTTGGAGATATCGAAGGATACGATACGAGGTAGTAACACGTTGAATACAAATCGCACCACTCAAAAAGATCCTGTGCTTTTCCAAGTTCTTTCCTCGATGTATTTCACGTCTATGTCTTTCCTTTCGTTCTCCTTTCATCCCTGCGCCATCTTGCTTTCTCTCCCTACCCTTAGCCTTCTCCCTTTCTCGGGTTCTCCTTACACTATCGTCTCGAGGGATAGTGAGATACGTACCTATACCCATATGATATGTATATACATAATAGAGTCCGTAGTCGAAATAATAATCAATACGGCAATGTCGATCAGAAGAAAAATTTTGTTTTTACTTTAATTCGACTTTCTCATTCGCCGTGAGATGCACGGTGCTCTAGAACATGTGAATTGGACATTAATGAAACTAACCCATAACAATACTAGGAATGATGGATTACTCGTGCTAACGCGAAAACTATGCCCCGAGCTCCTTATAGCGCGTAAGCAATCAACACCACAAGAAAAAGCAATTATTTCGCCAAGACGCTAAGCAGGGTATTCCCCTATCTATAGACGCATAGCTATACAGCAGGCTCCTTATTCTATAGAAGGAGGAATCTTGAATTTTTTCGCCCGAAGAATACGCCTTGTATTCTATGTACCTATGCGCCTCCTATATAGATATATAAAATATGATCTGCACATGATTGGTGTATTGTGTTTCGGTATGGGGTTGTCTATATTGATGGATCGCGACGCAACGTAGTCTCTTTGTATTTCTCGTATATTCCACCGTAGGGGTCGATGAAGAAAATGCGTATGGGGAATCGAAACACGTATGGGGCCACGTAGGACTGACGCTTATATCGTGTCGAAATGAAGAGTCGTTTCCTAGACGCTCCTGCGGATTGGGTATTCCCGGAAACGCAACAGCTACGCTATCTTATCTGCCTGCATCTACGGTATCTGTATAGCTATCACGTGGATGCGATGCCGCTATAGTTTCCATTTTGGCAAGGAGATCCAGTAAGCAAAATCCCATAGCGAAAGTTAGCTCAGTAGCTTCATTCGTGACTGCAGAAACTTTTGAGATAACGTAGGTGGTGCGGTTGCATAAATTTGCTCACCTTTGGCAGACTTCTTCAAATAGTCTTTCAGGTTATGTAACAGTGTACTCGATTACGGAATTTGATGAGATTTTTAATCGATCCCTTCTTGGGTCTTTATTCGGTAATTTATATGGGTAATTTTTTTTTAAGCTTCCTCATTAGGTACAAGCTTTATATTCGGCTCAGGCTATTCCTTCCTTCTGGGAATAGGTTTGTTATCTAGTTTAACAGTCCGCAACAGAATTCCACAATCCATTTCTATCAATCTGCTTCAGCGGCGATGGATGAAAGCTCAACAAATAGAATGGACAGGGAAGCCCAGATAGTCTTCTATTTTGTTTTCGCTTGTCAGGTCGATGTAATCCGGCAAATAAATCCTGTACGTTGCAGACGCCAGGCGTCCTTGCTGCAGGACACATCGCGTCGATACCAGAACTCACCGGTCGCTTCGATACCTTTCCCCGTCTACGATTTCAACTACGATAATAGGCAGTCTGAGCCCGGCTGAACTTCTTCGTTCTTCTTTCATTTCTTTTTTTGTTCCTATAACGACCCAAGAGCGAATCAAAGATTTATCCGGGATAAAAGTCTGGATAATTGTTTGGCAGATACCTATTGGCTTCATGTAGTTTACGAACCTATACTGTATGGTTACGATATAAAGAGGTATCATTTTTCGACAATTTTTATTTTTATATGTGCTTGTAGAATTGTACGATGGTATAAATATATATATAACTTAAAAAGGTATATACCTTCTATAACGTTATTCCTCAGGGAAATAACTCTGCTCTGTTCGAAAACCTCAATTTCGTACGGGCTGAACTCTTTTGGGTTTTGTTTTGATTTCATTTCAGTCGAAACTAGGTTTCACGAATGTTTTCTTGACTCTCCAAAAATTGGGTCGCCAAAGTATGTTTTCACGTTATTACGTTATTCGAGCTTTAGGCACAAGGTGTGGACCTTTCATACCCACAATGAATTTTTGAAAATTTTGACAAGAGTATAATTATACGAGATGATAAATAGTTCGACCTTGTTTCTTTAAATTTAAAACCACTTTCATTTATATATACGATAACACGGAAAAAATATGATACCAAAAGTGATACCAAAACTCATTCGTAACTACCTGAAGATACTAAATTTCCATCTCAGAGGATATCTTCAGTAGAACGAAATCTTGGACAGAACTTTCCAAAAGTAATTCAAACGTTAAAATCACTAGGCTAATGACCACCGAAAATGAGAAATGTTTATTGTGTCTTTCAAAATGACGAAACTTTACGGTTTGCTTTACTCTGAGGTGACTTACGAAGATACTTGCAAATGACTTTTGCCAATGCTTTTATGTGGGTCCAGTGCCACCTCCATAGCCAGGATCATCGAGAACATTAGGTACAGTAAACCATACGCAAAAAATACTCAGACACTGTACACTGTACAATGTACATCTAGGGGAGTAGAATTACTCCGATAGAGTGCACTGGCTCTATATTGTGTAGCTTCTTGGGTTACTACTTGAGTTACTTGACCTATATGAACCAACTCATATGTGGAACTTACCTATCGCTTGTGCCACGACCCTCAGTTTCCATTGGCAGATTCTATTACTCAATGTCGCAACGACGCCAATTATTATTTTACATCAGTAGGTATTGCCTAATCCGCGAATTACCCGCTCCGTATGGATTAGTTACACGTTTCCTTTCAAATTGTATCTGGGTTATACCGAGGATTTTGTTACTCGTTCTGATGCAACTACGAGACTTATGGATTTGTCATATACGTATGTATGTACGATAATGAAAGTATGTGAATTGGTATAGAAAAAATAAAAACATTATTATATAAAAAAAGAAATTTTTGGGTTTTTGTCAATCAGTCCTACAATAAAATATTGAGTATGATTATACAGCCTATATTTACTGAGAATCATTTCGATTTACGAATTGTACTGTCAGTTCTTATTGAAAAGCAATCGGCGAAAGCGCGAAGTGCTGGAGCGATATAATCAGCAATAAATGCCGCGTAATTTCCGGTTGAATCAAAGCAAACGGGAGTCGTTTCGGGATTTCCAACGACTCTAAAGCAGTTACCATCGATTCCTCTTACGGAGGAGGAAATGAAGCTGATAATGCGGGGAGTGGAAATTAAATTTGCATTACGTGCCCACCTTTCGCAGAATCCACGTGCCGCTATTTTTCCATTTACTTACTTTTATCTTAGAACTACCATAGCCGTGTAAAATTGAATAATAATTCATTGGTGCCCTGACACGAGACACGTTAGAAAAGTTAAATTCTATTTTAAAACGACAACTATAATTTTACAATTAAATGTGGCATACTGGTTCTTCACTTAGACTTTAAAAAAGTTATATAAAATTTAGGAAAATTATATTTCAATCGTGAATCGCAAAATCAACACGTCCATCTCGAACCTGAAGGATACGTAAATTTGAATGGTGTTAAACTTTCAATATGATTTTTATTTGTCTGTATAACAAAAGGATTTTAGCCCAGGATACACTTTCTCTATCAGCTAAATCAATCCGGTCCCATAGGTACTCTGTGTGGCCAAATGAGCGACCGATCTTCGCAGCGCGTAGCACTGAAGAATGGGGTCGCCGTGATAGATTTCATGTTTAAGAGAAGATAAATCTAGCAACCCCTAGCAGGGTAAAGTTAGAAAAGGGACCAAGTGAAATAGCACCGATTTCCTTTTCCCGTTGCCTTTCCCTTTCTTTCACAACCCAATCGAATTTCTTTAAGATTCCTTCCTTTTCACTATTTCGCCTATATCGCTTTTGAATTCATGACAATTATTTTTTTCAAACCCTTCACCCTTCGGATCACGCTCATTCCGTATACTTTTGTAAATCACTGTACATATGATTCGCACGGTACAGTTTCACCTGTAAACCTATATTGTATTATACTTATGCATAATTTTTTGTCACCTACATATAACTGTCAGTGATATCAATGCAAACGAAGTAGAAGGCGGAGCCAGACGTATGGATTAGTATAAAAGCTCCAGTTCCACAGAGTCAGAGTACAGTCATCATAAGGACATCGAAAAACAGTCGAGATCAATATGACATGCAAAGTAATTAGGAAATCAATTAATTTTTATTATAAGATCATTATCAGTGACTTATTTAATTTGTGAATTATCATGTGCCTCATAAACGTAACATTTATTCTGGGTTACAGTTATTCATTTTGGCTGGCCTCCTGGCTGTGGTCCGAGCTGGAATCGTCGGTGGCGGCTTAGTCGGTGGACCAACAGCTGCGACAGTTGCAGTTGGTCAACCAACTGTTATCAGAACCGAGAACTACGATCCAAATCCTCAGTACAGCTTCAGTTACAGCGTGGCCGATGGACTTACTGGTATGTTTGGCATTATAGGAATCGACAGAATTCTCAACCACTGGTATACGTTTTCAGAACAATGATATTCGTATTCTCGATATTCCTTTATAGAAAATAGTTTATTCCATCGGATGCGCAAGTAGACAAAGCCGATTTAGCGCAGAGCAATATCAACAAACTTTACGTATATATAACAGTAGAACAAGCTAGTTTTCTGAGATAAAGTACTCATAGATACACAAAGTGCAGTTTCCGAGCAATGTTGAATATAAAATCTGAGTATTCGCTACTTAGCAAACTTGCCACCTTCTCGTATCCTGCTGCATTACAAGATTTTCATAAGAAGATAGAAACTTGCAAAACCCACGTACTGTACCGGCATTACAAAATTTGCTTTTTGTAAATGAGCATTAATCAGAGAATTACTAAAACTCTTAGGCGACAACAAGGCTCAGGAGGAAACCAGGAACGGTGACGTGGTCCAGGGTAGTTACAGTCTAGTGGAACCTGATGGTTCTCGACGTATAGTCTCCTACGCTGCTGATCCCATCAATGGATTCAACGCTGTTGTGCAAAAAGATCCTGCAATTACCGTAAAGGCTGCAGTTGGTGCACCTGGTCAGGTTCTACGATCTGCTGTAGTTTCTCCTCAGCAACTCGTTGCTACTCGGCCATCTATTATTGCCACGGGTGGACACAGCGCAGCAGTTGGCGCACCTTTAATTCGTCAACAGGTAAGGCATATATCGTAACAAGCTTAGTTAAGCTACTGAATGTATTTTGTTCAACCTAAGTTATCTTATACAGGCCTTACTCGCTACTGGTTCTCCATTGCTGAGACAATCTGTCATTACCGGACCTACACTGACGTCTTCCAACATTATCAACACTGCTGGTGTCAACGTTGGCTTGCTCAGTGGTATACCTTTGGGCTACGGACTTGGACTGGGACTTAGGGCCGGAAATCTTTATGGTACGCAACCTATTCTTGCATCCGGCTATGGAACCGGAGGCATTGTCAAAGTTCATTAAATTACCAGTACTCTAAGTACAGTACCTATGGACCATACCAATATATCGCCCACTTCAACCGTTACTTCTTGCGTCTGATAGACTCATTGAACTTTCGACCTTTGAGAACACTGACAAAAATTAATGAATTTCAAATGGATAATTAAGCATTGGACTGTAAGAAGTAGATGTTGTTCTATGGGCCGGACGAACCGGTTTCTCCGAGAATGAATCTTTTGTCGTGAAGTGTTCCGTGGTTATTACGCAAATTCCTCCACGCTCTTAAGCAGAATTGTCATGTAAGGTCAAAGGTTAATCTTGATGACAAAGCAATTGATGTACATTGTATCAAGTACGTTGGTCAGAAAAAGATTACACAAGTTAAAGAAAGAATAAAACTTCATTATAAATTTGACTGTTACAACTTGAAAAATCCGTGAAGCTTCGTTATCCACATTGACGAAAACAGCTTTACGCTACGAAATATTTATTCTTCGGGATAGTTTTCATGGGTTTCATTCATTCCTGAGCGAATAGACTTTTATGAAAGTACTATCTGTATTCTTCAAATACCTATAACAAGTGCTGTCGTTACATGTCTCGTATCCTCGTACTACTTTAATTTGATGCCATTTACTATCGTATTGGCGATCATCCTCGTAAAGTCAGAACGCATATACGAAGAAGTAAAACGTAGAAAATTGTCTGCAGAATCTCAATTCGCTCACGAAAATGAATATCTCATTTGGCACACGTATATTATAATCAAGCATATACATTAGCAGTAGCGTTCTGTGACATGTAATATTTACGCCGCAATGTATTTTCTGGGTGGCAGCTGCTTGGTTGGTAAAACATAGGAAGCTGAATTCCGACCCAGCTGTTACCTCCCACACAATTCTCGCCTATCCGCCACGTTTATACGCATTAATTTACTCGCCATATCCGCACTATTTTTCTCGATTCTATTTCTTTTTCCGTTTGTTAAGTACACTCGTTACCGACTACCCGTGAACTAAGATCCAGGATATTGTATCGACTTGTCTCCGACATCGTTGGACTATAACGACTTTCCTACGGTTTGTCGTAGATCTACTAGTACTGTACTTGCACTTACCACTTTTCTCACTAAACTTAAGCCTCACGCCGCGAACCCATTGTATTATACGACCCAATCTAATATTTATGTATGCATCCGAATAAAGAAAAGAGATTTCACGCTACGTATTTTGCATAACGTGCCATATCTAATTGCCATTGTCCCGTCGTCGTACCAGCTAAAGACGCGACAGGTAAAACCCACTGGAACAACCATGACCATCCCTTTGGAAATTCACTCTGGGGGGTAGATATGCGAATGCTCCATTCACTCTTTATTATCCTAAGTCCCTTGGTTTTATTAGTAAATTGTTATGCTTCGTTACGAGTTTATCCGTTTACTGTCTGTCGGGAATGGTTATGATATAAACAGACAGCTATTCGCGATTTCCTTACAAAAATATATTTAAATGGTGTTATGGGAAATATTGAGGGTTTTTATCTATGTATTTATTTCCAGTGTATTTGCACTGTACAAGTAGACTACATTAGACTACAGTACATTAGATGCATACGGCGCCATAGTTGGCAGTTTATTCGTACGACACATGGGCTGCTATTCCCTTTCGAATATTAACTGATATTATTTTATTGTGATTTGCAGAATACGATAAAACGCATTGCAATGGGTCTCGTTGCGAATATGGCTCGGGACCAAAATCGCGAGGAGCCTTATCCCCTGAACTGAACCCTGAACGTTACATTGTATTCTTGAGAATTACGAAGCTACTTCTTTGATTTACTCTTGATTGAAATTCTGGAAAATGTGCACTTCGAAAATACGTGTTTGATATTCTGTTATTTATCTCGGTAATAATGCAACAATGTTCTATCATGCGGGATAGTACAAATGGATTTCAATATTTTACCTAAAGAGGTCCACACGGTATTACAGGATTTCATACTATAAAAATTAGATGCACGAACATAGCTGGATTATTTAATTCACAGCACCGTATTACATTCTGTTGTCATCTGAGAATTCACACCATTAAGCGAGTGTTTAGTACTTTGTGCCTGCGGTCTGTTTTTTTTTTATGAACACGATAAATGGATAATAAACAACTTTGAAAAGCTCAAGCGCAATTATGAACGAAACTATAACACTCACAAACAGGACATTACTTTAAACCGTCCCAATATCAAAACATCGGTTAATCAGCATCCCAAGTAATAAATAGCAGTAAACATCCTTAACATGCCAAACCCCAAGAAGTTCGTTGAAAGGTTAATCGGAAATTCGAATTTGATGCCGGAAGCAGAACGTAAAGCTTGAAGAAGTCAGAGAAAAACTTTTGCCTCAGTTGGGTACGTCGAATCCGAAAGTTCGAACGTAAAGTAGAAGCTATCTCGGTGAGAACCACGAGCGTCCTGTGATTCCGGCAAGCACGTTTTCCCTAGTGATTTAGTTGGTTCCACGATGCGACTACGTGATCCCCAAGAGTCACGCGCCCGCGATACAAATACTATCATGGAGGAGAAGGAAATCGTACCTGCCCTATCGGTAATATAACTCCTAGTTTTAATTAGGTACATTAACCTCGGATTATTTTGACTCCGTGGACAATCTGGTTCTCCTGGCATTGCTAATGAAACGACCGGAAATTTTCATTCCCTACATTGGCGCGAGCCCGTTCGCTACGATTCTCCACGGTAATTTCATGAAAAGCGTTTCATTTAAGTTGCAATACCAGTGCGAATATCGTGCGGCATTCTCGCAATTAAAATCTATCAAGATTTTATCGTTTCATTCAATAATATCATTCCGCAGTGCCGTTTCGTTTCTTCTATACCAGTTCAACAATTTTTTCAGAAACATATCTAATTCTATACTAAGATTTTGATTTTTACTAGCAATCTTATGAATATACTGGGAATATCGTTTGAATCATATATAATATCTCTCTTTAAATACTACTTCAGATGTGAATAGAGGTTGACTTTAAATAACATTCTTAAATCAGACAAATCTAATTCGAGGTACGTTACCTTACTGTCTTTACTTTATACTGCTATTGATAGAGTTAAAACTAAGTGTACTTCTACGTCGCCTTTGTCGCGATATCTTCTTATTTATTTGGTTCTAGAACTTAACGTTATATATATATATATATATATATCTGTCTATTTCGTTATTGTGAGGAAGGAAGTGACTTAATAATTCATCGGGCAGCGCTGCACGACGCCGACCAAGTCGTGCTAGCAGCTCATTTACATTTATGAGATAAAAATGGCGCATATTTATCGAAGCACGCCATGATCATGCTGTAAAACGAAAGTTAAGAGAGAAAGGAGAGCGGCGGGGAAAAATAGGGTAAGGGCTGTGAGAACTGACGTGAGGCGCTATGAATTTTAAGGTGTTTTCAACTGACGCTTCCTTCTCGTTTGTCGTAAACTTCTAGAGACACTACATTCAGTCGCGCCGTATCCATTATGGATCTGTCGTTCACCTTTCGACCTGAATGAAAAGATGTCAGTGAAAAGCCAACCCTTTTATCAATATCGACTTCGCGCTTTGAAGTAGCCAGTTTCTTATCGGAACACGTGAAGCGTTTCGGACTTTATTTACTGTTTATCTTGAAAGCTCAAAGAGATTTGCTTTACAGTATTATTTATTGTTACTTCCAATCTTCTATCGACTCTTCTATTCTACTCAGTAGAATCGACATCAAGACTGAAATTGAATTTTCTTGAAAAAGTTTTTATTTCGAATCTATCTATCGCGTACACGTGTACAAGCTGTATAAATTGTCGAATAAAAAAATATATTTTTTTTCTTCCCTTTCAGATCCAACATCTACTAATAACGGGAGAAAATGGTGCAGCGGGTGTCGTATCGATCGGACGTAAGAAGCGTCAACTAAGGTAAGTGCGTAACGACCATCTCAAATAACGAATCCGTAAATTGTAAAGTTTTCTTATTTCTTTCCAAAGGGTGACCCCGGGGATAAAATAAATTATCGAATTACTTTGATTAAAAAAAAAAGGAGCAAGAGAAGGGACAGCTCGTTATCGGGAATAAATTCCAAAAAATACGTGATCACCCCGGCTCCATTGGGGCGAGACTCAAAAAGATTTATGACTATCGGGTTCGGAACAAAAGCGAATCTTCTCCATACTACATCGATCGCGAGGACTCAAGATTTTAATAGAACTTTATAAAGGGGGTCCAAGATGATTACTCCCAATATACCTTAGCTTTTTTAAAATGACAAATAGACTAAGGTACACCAATTGACAGCTACGTCGTTCAACGACTTCGTCGCAGTCTAAGAAGGGGATGAAAAATAAAGCCAAAAAAATCCTTCTCGATCAGAATCCAAGCAAGTCGTGTGCAACGTTAAGTGTGAAAAAAAGTACTCAAGTTTTTTCAACTCGTTGTCGCGGGACTCTTAATAAAAGTTTGAGAGTCAAGGGAAACTTTGCGTAACGCTAAGCGCGGACTCTTAAATCAGTGATGGAAATTTAAAGCGAGGCGTTAAGGGAATTGCGTAAAAGCAAAGTAAAGGGTGAGCCGTATAGAATGGAAAGAACCATTTCGCGCAAAGCCTGCAGAATAGGAATGGGAAAGGCATGTACCCTTCTTAACCTAATGAAAGGCGAAAGTTCTTCATCTGAGTTTACAGCGAGTAAGCAACGTTAGTTTGACTAAGTACCACGTTACAGGTCTTTCGTACTATACAAGCCAATCGTCAATAGCCACTTATTCTTACGTACACTATTCACCCACAAAGTTTATTGCACAACGAATAATTTTAATTTAAGATGTCTCTATAGAAACGCAATAAGAACCCACTCGCAGGCTTTCATATGTAATTCCAATTCATTTCAAGATGACAGAGAGAGAGACATTCCACACCGGTACGAAATCTTGAGTCATAACAATAATAAGTAATTCAATCTTTCTTAACGTAAGCATACAGATACCGTGATTACCTTTTATACACAGTCTGAATGAAATCGCATAGCTTCACTCTGCGAAGAAAGACATCGTGCATTCTAAAGGTAAAAAGACGAGGGTACAGTAAATTACGTAAGATTACTAAAAGTACGGTGGGAACGTGTGGTACAAGCTACAAGCTGTGCTTGCGGCAGCACGATTCTCTTACGCGTATCCGCATATACCCATAGCATATATGTATATATACGAATCGTAGGAGGTAATTGGTTTTCGTATTAAAGATAACCCGCGTAGTCACCGGAGCCGCTAACAAAACCAATCAACGTTGGAAATTCAAGTTAACGGACGCACGTTAGAGAAGAGTTGGCAACATCAGCAATAAAATGTTGCCGTCTTGTTAACTAGACCAGCGGCACTGCATTGTCTCAATTACTTCGTTTGTTTGCCAGGTACCCTTACGGTGGGAATGGCTTTGAATATCTACAGCGAGACTGTCGGTCACGCTTGATTATCAACATTCCCGGTATTCCCACATTCCTCGTCGCATTCATTACCACCCTCATACGTGACCCATCCTACGGTCCAACAATTCCGATTCACATTTCACGGAGAGACAGGAAAATCTCAGGAATCAACGTCGTCTTGCATCTCCACTTTAACAAGATAGGGGAAATCTTAATTCATGACAGATTTCAGGAATACAATTTATATATACAATATTTCATTGATTCGACATTCGCTCTGACTCTATCCTCGTGTCTTATAGGCTTTGCCGGAGTTTTTGCTATAAAGTAGATACTTGACAGAAAACGCATTCTTGCACTCTTGCGTGTGGGTTAGACGCGTGGGATGCGTGGGTCAGGGCGCGGCCCAATGAGTTATCACGATCAACACGCATCTTAATTTGCAACACATTACCCAGGACCATCGACACTTTTAGGTAACAAGTGCCCAATTTAGTGCGCTCATTTTATTTGCTTGTAGTTTACGGCTTGAGATACGTACAAGCTGACATCGGAGTATGTACTCAACCTCCGGGACATATGGAGTAGAAGGGTCAAGGATGTAGACATGAATATTAAGTATTCCTAATAATTTGACGATTAGTCATCCGAAGTTGCAGTATAATCAGGGTACGTAAAATTATTCTGGAACTAATTTTTTTTAACGATACAATTGTAGCATTGCAAATGGTATCGATTTCTGAAGAAATATTTTGCCTTA